AAATTAAACAAAGTATTAAGAGCAAGGAAATAAAGAAAAAAATCGCCGAACTGCTATATTTTAGTGAACATTGGAGAATATCTGCAGAGGTGAAAAAGCTTGAAGTGACAAAGGTGTGTCTCTACCGACCAATACAGGGGATACCACGGACAGAAGAAGTGAGGTAACGAAAGAGTTTTAAGGAAAATAAGAATTACAATAATTCAGGTGAAAATTCTGGCACACACAATGCGGAAAGAAGCTTTGGAGAATTAAACACCCAGAGGATATATAGAAAGTAAGAGAATCGTGGGAAACTGCAAGACTTAGTAAAACAAGAACAAAGAGGAATAGTAAAGAGTCAAAAGTTACTTAGAGCAACAATAGACGGGAGGTTGAGGAGAGCCATGATCTCAGTAGAGAATTGCCGCATAAAAGACAATATGTACATGCTAGCGAGTAGGATTTTTACGGAGTTCCCCACGCTTAAACGGTTTTGAAATCTGAATTATCCTTTTCTTAGTTTGGTTGCCAAAAAAAGCAACTGGTATTTAACTCATAGCGTGGTGATGAGACGAAATGATTCATAATTTTCCCAAAGATATTTGAGCGAAAGTGAATGCAACTACATCGGTCCGAATTCGAACTCTATGTTACTCCCCGCGCCGAAAATCACTATGTCATGCGCCAAAAATTAAATTTCGATTAAAACATTTTTATTTCTACAAATGAGTATAAAGTAAAAACAGTCTATTTTAATAAACTTAATTTATATTATTAACTTATTCATAAGGCATGAACCCATTTTTACTTATTGCGCGACTATTTAGTAGAGTCAGTCTACATTGAAACTGCGGAGATATCTGCAATTAATATTCAGTACATCTAGAACTATCTAGAATATAAAGTTGTCTGTATAGAACGCGCCATCTAGTGCTGAAGCCGTGAAATTCAACATTAGATGGACAGAGTAAATCAAAATGCATCAGTTAGGTTGGAACTGTTTTTGTTTAATTCACGTTTTTGAATAGAAACGGATAAAAATATATTCCATTTGACAAATCATTAGAATAAAACCAAATTGTCTTTTCTAAAATCATGCACCTTCGCCAGGAAAGTTTCAAAATAATATTAAGCACAAGCCCCAGGGTACCATACCCGAAGGCAGTACCTCACCTTCGAGTGGGGCAGGATGCGCCGGCAATAGAAGAAGTATCGAGATAGGCTTGAACAATTTTTCCGATATTGTCGTTAAACCAATTTTAACCTTCAACCTTGTGTCACATTGAGTATCAACGTGGGCACGCTGAAAAATCTGCTTAAATCTTACATTTCCTGGGTAAAGGACTTGAAACAAGCATAAAATGTACATCACATTCTCTTTAGCTAACTGGCTATAACATGGTGGAACTTTCGTCATTCGCATTGAGTTATAGACGTACAATAGCCGGAATTCCATTAATTCGAAGTTAACGATTTTAAACTCTTATGGGGACGTCTCTCTGACTGGGTGTTAGTCAGTGGGGTATTACTCAACGCTCAGATTTTCGACTATTCCACGGTGCACTTGACAGCTAACTGCTGTGTACACTTTGGAAACCTTTGAATCATCATCGGAGCTGTTTCGACTTGAAGGCAACATTGCAAATCAATATGATTTCTCATTGTCAGCATGGCATACTCACATACGAGCATATCCACCTGGCCAGGAATATTTGTGCTTCTACAACACACAGAGAGAGCCAACCTGTGGTCAGTCAGTTACGTGCCATGTGCAATACACGTTTAGGCGATCATGTATCTTTCGGTACATGACTGACGAGGTAGATTTTTTCCCGTAGTAGGTTGCCATTTTTTCTGTGGTACAACTGTTGCCATCCATGGCTATAGAACCCGGTCTGTCCTGCTATTTACGCATAGCTGGGGGGGGGGAAGAAGAAGTGTATTTATAACTTTCCCAAGTGTATTAGCACCTAAGTGAATGTAATGGATTCGACTGGATTTGGATTTTCCGATTCCTCAATCCGAGCCGCTATCCATTACTCCACCGTGCCTCCCCCATCAGTCACTTATGTGCCATACGCGATACACGCTTAGGCGATCATGTATCTTTCGATACATGACTGACGAGGCAGATTTTTTCCTGCAGTTAGTTGACGTTTTTTTTTGCGGTAGACCAGTTGCCATCCAAGGCTATAGAACCCGGTCTGTCCTGCTATTTACCCATAGCTGGGGGGAGGGAGGAAAGAGGATTCATACCTTTCCCTAGGGTATAAGCACGTAAGTGAATGTAATGAATTCGACTCGGCTCACACTAAAAATGTGCTGACCGGACATTATTTACGGTTTAGATGTGTAGCCCATCACGCAGTTGTCCTTCTCTCATAATGGTTGTCGACTACGGCTAGAGACTCCATTCTGTCCTGCTATTTAACCCATAGGTGGAGGGAGAAGATATGAATTCATGCATTCCTTAAGAGTATTTGCGCGAAAATATATCTCGACCGGGGTTCGAACTCGACTTACAGATTTCTTGTTTCGAGGCGCGAATGAATTACTCCCCCCCCCCACCAGCATGTCCTTTGTATAATACGTTCTTAAAAGTTTTAAAAATGAATTAAATTGTTATTTTTTTCGTTTTATATTTGTCTGCATTGCTATGCTTTATATCAACTGTGATGCTTTATGGTATGGTTAATCACGTTCATCATGTAGGGATGTAGAAAGCGATTATCTCCTCTTTGACTGCTAGAATGGATTGATGTCTTATGAGAATCTTTGAGAAACACGTGGCAGACAATTGAGGAGTATATTCAGTTGCTGCTTAGAGCACAACGGTGACAGGTGTGATAACTAGACATTACAGCTAAACACGACCACAACACGATGTGCATGAATCCTAGATAGTAAGGAAAACCATATGATCAGAGCTGCACTGAATAGGGTTTAAGAAATAAAACCTTCTTATTCGATCCCTTTCAGTCACAGTTTGCTCTTTTTAAAAAATACATTTTAATTTCTCTATGTGGAAAAATTTGTGATTAATAATTAATTTCTGTGGTTTATTTTATGCCTTCTTTCCGTTGTGTTAAGGTGTGAGCGTATCCCGGATATACTAACGCCTTATGTGGGTCTTGGAGAGTGGAGAAACCAAGATATTTCTTTTCTTTTTTTAGACTAACCCATTAGAAGAATGCCCTTAAACAAAATAAAATTTACCTTAATAAAACAATATACAAAGAAGTAAAACACGGGATACTAAGTAAAGTATATAAAATCACTTACTTTGTATATAAAATCACTTACTTTGTATATAAAATCACTTACTTTGTAATTGCAGTTTAAAAAGAAACAACTTAAAAAAAAATCTTTCAGTTAAATCTTTCTGCACAGACAGGATAAGATTCGTTGTAGGGCGATTAAGACTGGCAAAAATTATTTTATTATTAAAATAAAGTATTCAATGTTTTCTATGCAATAAATAAAAAAATAATTAAAATAAATAAAAAAATAATTAAAATAAATAAATATTAAAAAAAAATTCACACTCTTTCCCCATTTTTTGAACAGGATTAGTGAATTATCCCTTGCTTCCTGTTTAAGATTGTGTTTCCGGTTCCTTCTAAATTTTTCCCATTCTTTTCCCCTTCCAACAGCCCCTTGTGTTTTAGTGACATTATCATCATGTTTTCGATGAAACGGGAAAAAAATCACAAACTGAGTCGACATTGCAGGAAAAATGTTTCAAACGTTCATCGAAATTTATTAACTGATATTTTTAAATCGATATTTCTAAAGTTATCACAATAACACAAAAATATCTGTCAAAATATATAAAATTACTTGAATTTAAAAGTGAGCAGATAATAATGTAAATGACACAAGCAATCCTATCGGAGGACGTCAGTCTTCTAGGGCGGCAAGCTAATCCAATCACCCACAGAGTCCACCTATTGTTCATACTGATAGATATGAGCGGACCTTAGCGCGTTATCTAGCGTGATCAACAGTCTGAATAAGGTTAGCACGCTCAAACCCTCGGTCACGATGACTTGTGACTTCGTGCTAGCACAACCTCCCAAGGGTTCCGTCTTCCCAATTTCACTTACAAGGCTTGGGTCAAACAGTTGTATCGTTTTCAAGCACTTTCTAAAGGTGATGCTGGGATCGCGTCACTAAAACCGCTAACATCAAGTCACCTTCCTGCCAAACCGATTATGGTGAGATTCGAACCGGTTTCATGGTCAGAAAGCGAATGTTCTAACCACTCGGCTCACATGCTCAATCGAATATTATATATTATGTATAATAATTGTATATCATATATAATAAAAATTTAATATTATAATAAAAAGTAACACATAAAAGTATCTATCTATATTTCTGAGATGAGACATTATATACATTATTTACATTATTCGGACTATTGTCCTCATCTTTGTCGCCATATTATTACAACGTTGTACGATCCGGCCTTCTTCAGGTGGTTGGAATGTCTAACTGAACCCTTTATTTCGCTCACTGGGGTAGACTGTTCTAGTTCCACGTGCCATGTTTAATGGATGTCAGTTATCAGTTATCTCCTGTTAATTTCCTTCTGAAAATTCTCCACTGCCTTAACCGGGTATTGAACTCACACTCTTTGGGTCCTGTCACTAGATCTAACCAACGCCTTTATCCACTGTGCCATGTGTCCTTTTTTGGTTAGAACTAAACCTAAATCGCCAGTCTTACATTTCGGGCGAATATTGCGAGCTACCATTATTTTTTTTTCTCGTTCCGATTCTTAAATACCATTTCTCTCCAGATTGGTTTTGGATTTATAGCTACTATGCTATTTAACACATATTTTGAAGACTATATGTTCATTCCTTTTCCGAGGGCATTAGTGCGAAAGTTAATGACTCAGGCTCTGTCAGAATTTCAACATGACACACCGATTTTACTTTTAACGTCAATATCCATTTAGCCACACATCTAAATCTTTTATCCTACACAATTGCAAAGCTATCTTCTCTTCACTAAAGAATTTTCTGTCGTTGTAAGTAATCAGGAAAGAGAGAAAGAGAGTGAGAGTGAGAGTGAGAGAAAGAGAGATAGATAGAGAGAGAGAGAGTCAAAATGAGAAAGAGTAGGATAGAATGAGAATGAGAGAGTGAAAGAAAGAGAACTAGAGAGAGAGAGAAAGGGAAAGAGTGAGAGAGATAAAGAGAGAGAGACACACAGAGAGAGAGAGAGAGAGAGAGAGAGAGAGAGAGAGAGAGAGAGAGACCCAGTATTATACTAACCCAATTTTGGTAAATAATAGCTTCAAAATAAGCGAAATTCAGTGAGTAACATACACACATGCAGAGAGAGAAGTAGGTAATGGGAGATTCAGAGAGAGAGAGAGAGAGAGAGAGAGAGAGAGAGAGAGAGAGAGAGAGAGACAGACAGACAGACAGAGAGAGAGAGAGAGAGAAAGAGTGAGAGAGATAAATAGAGAGTGGGAGATTCCGAAAGCGTGAGAGAGATAAATAGAGAGTGGGAGATTCAGAGAGCGAGAAAGAGTGAGAGAGATAAATAGCTAGCGGAAGATTCAGAGAGAGAGAGAGAGAGAGAGAGAGAGAGAGAGAGAGAGAAGAGATAGAGGGAGGGAATGATAACAGTGTAATAAAGAGAGAAGTAAATCTAACAAATATAAATGGCCATGACTCTTCATCATTAAGCTAAAGTCGAAACGTCGGCAGATTTCGGATTCTCATTCTTGACCCACCACCCGACCCCTATCTAAATTCTCCTGTTCCTTACGTCTGATACCCACCAAGAGAGAAACGAGGGTCGGACGCCATTTTTCTAATAGCAACAATAGTAATGGCGGCTCCCATTTTATGAAGGCGGGAGGCACTACTTTGCCCCTTTCCTTTCCTTTCTCACCCACCTCTCATTTCCCGCCGGACATGCTCAGACCAGATAACCTTGCATTCTTCTGCGATGATGAGGGATCGAAAAAAAAAAAAAAAAAAACGAAAAAGAATCTAACGAAGCGATCCGTTTCTTAGTCTCCCTAGGCAAAAAAATAAATAATAAAGAAAGAAAAAGAAAGAGACACCCCCCACACCCCGCCGGCAGGGGACATAGAAGATTTATCATACAAATTCCTCATAAAACTGAGGAAAAAAGAAAAAGAAAAGAAAGAAAAACAAATATTTGTTAAACAGCAAAGCAAACAATGTTAAATATATATTCGTTTTGTTGAAGTTAATTTTCCAACAGACCAAAAGATGCGCTTGATTCGCATTTAACTTATTTACATGAATGAACTTTTGAGATAGGATTTGCATAAAATAATTATAGTGCTTGTACGTTTATTTTAATATCAATTATAGGCTGAAAAGTTCTTATTATCTTCCAAAAATTTGATCAAATGAATTTCATTGGAATTTGTTTTTTACAGAAACGCATCTCTCTAAGAAATAATCATTTTATCCAAAATTTTCTTGCTTTTCATTCTCCTATCTAACAGGCACTCCAGTTTACGAATATTAAAAAATTAAAAAAAATCTTTCTTTGAAATTTTCAAAATTTTAAGAGGGGGTTCAATTTGCTATGTAAATTCATTGTAAACTGATCCCTCTATGTAAGGCAAAAGCAAAAAAGAAAGAAAAACAAATACCATTCTTACTACCTGTTGGGTTCCAAGCTATAGGTAAATAGTGAATTCCTAAGATGAAAATCTAAAATACATTAGAAAAATTACCAGCAATAAATTATTGGGAAGAAAATATATACCGGTAATACATTTTTGCATACAAAAAAGTTACCAAATCTCAGAACAAAATAAAATTTCGTCATTAAATGACCCATAAGGTGTTGATATGCCGTTAAAGAAACCAAAGAAGCCGATTTTACTTACCTTACAAAAGTTTAAATAATTTCAAGTTATAATAAAAAGCGGTAGTTGGCACTTCAACGTGGTGTAATGGTTAGTAAGTTTGTCTCGATAGATTAAATACGAGTGAGTTCGATCCTTACTGGGTGCACCATACTTTCAGTTTGGTACCATATCCAAACTACGCTTAGTAAATTGCTATGATAAAAATGTTTTTTTAAAGCATATTTCTACCTGTGTTCTGCTAAAATTAAGCTTACATAGAAAATTTTAAAACAGCCTCAAAATATTTAAAACCTATTCTTACTTACTCTTCTTTTTTCCTTTGGTTTCTGTTGTATACACATTTCCTTTCGGGTCCCAACCAGAGATCTAAGGTCAGAAATGGCTTCCTGCATCTTCCATTAATCATTCTTTGTAAAAAGATCACACACATGTTACATTGATAAAGCTCTTCGTAATGCGTGAGCTGTACTTGTGACTACAGCTTTTTATTTGTTTTTCTTTAAGTCATGGGCTAACAATAATGCCTTCCTTGAGTCTATTAGAATCTTTTCCAATCAATCCGAGGGCTCCAACTACAACATGAATTGTTGATGTCCTCATGGGCCAGATTTTTGAGATTTCAGCTTGAAAATCCATGTATTTTGATTCTTCTTTGAAAATCTTCAGAAATACATTACGATCTGCAGGTACTGCTATATCAACAAGAAAGCACCTTCTGTTTTTGTGGTTATTATTATTATTATTATTTTCTTTGATTTCTGTTGTATATAAATTTCATTCTCTGTCCCAACTAGAGACCTAAGGTCAGAAATGGCTTCATGATTTTTTTCCACTGATCACTTTTATAAAAAAACAAAACAAAAAACTAAGATCACACACGTTACGTATATACAGCACTACGTAATGAGTGAGCTGTATTTGTAAGTACATTTTTTTGTATTTCTTTTAGGCATGGGCTACTAGGAATCCCTTCAACATGACCCTTTTTTCCAATCAATCCGAGTGCTCCAACTATAACTGGAATCAATGATGTCCTCATGTGCCACATTGTTTTTAGATTTCTACCTCAAGATACTTGTATTTTGATAGTTTTTTTAAAAGATCTTTAAAGATACATTACAATCTGCAAGAACTGCCATGTCAATAAGGAGGTAAATTTTATTTTTGTGGTCTTTGATCACGATATCTGGGCGATAAGTTTTGATTGTTCTGTTTGTGTATATTTTAAAGCCCCATAAAATTGTTACAGGTCCTATGTCTGTACCGGGGCTTGAGTGATGTTCATACAATTGCATTTTCCTTCCCGTAAAAGTTGTACATTTTCCAGTGCAGATATTATCGCACCCTATCATGCTGAGTTTTATATTCAGAGGTGCTAACACTGTGCAACCTGATACAAGATGGTCAATTGTTTATGGATATTATCACAAAATCTGCATTTCGGGTTAACACAATTTTTCATTATGTGTGCTTGGTAATTTCTAGTTAGCAAGCATTGGCCATCTGCAGCAAGAATAAAATACTATTATTATTATAATTATATTTATTATTATTATTATTAATAATACCGTATTTTCCGGCTTATAAGACTCACTTTTTTACTAAAAAAATACATGAAAAATACATGAAAAATACATGTGCATCTTTCAAGAAGAATGTAAGATAACGTCCAGGCGCAAGTAAGCTTGAACGGTCACCTAATTGACTTGACTGATAGGGACGTGGATTTATATATTGAGTCATTACACTATAATGTTAGTTATCTACCTATCTAATTCAGCCTTTTATATGATGTAATCTCGGTACTTAGCTGTTACAAGTATTGCCAAAACTATAAACCTTCCTGCAGCCGAGCCACAAGCTTAAACATGCTCTGCTTACTAGCAGCAGCGGGAGCCTTTTTGCTCTTGACTAGTTAGTATGTCATTGCCATACAAACAAAATCGGGTGATTAATGTAAACAATATGTTGCACCAGTATGTGTGGGATGCATGGTGAATGTATTGTTACAACCGCAAATAAATACTTAACACGAACAAAGAAGTCAAAGTCAACCAAAGATAATTAACCGCTTCAGTGAATACCTTGTTAGTAACGCGGCTCGGCTTAACGTCCGGTAAATCCTAAATTAAACTCTAAATCAACGATGCACAATGATTCACACTAATTCGACTAGATAGTTCCCCTCAATAATCACTCAATAATCACTCTAGTCAGTAGCCTGACATCTCTATTTATATAACTGGCGGAAAATCCAGAGTGTCACGCTCGAAACTCGGTGTCGGTAGTTACACATGTTGTTCCTATATGACAGTGGCTTTATTGCCTTACTTGAGGTGAATGATTAAACAAAAAGATTAACTCCGACAAGTGATTTTTAAATTCATTTTTAGTTTATTTTTATAATTCTGAATATATCATTACTATTTATTATTGATTATAAATAATACTTTTTCTTGTCTTTGTCGGTGCAAATGCTTTTAATTATTTTCTAGTTTACTTGTGCCATCAAAAAAGTCATGTTTTCAATTGCTTTGTGCTTATAAAATATCAAAAACATTATACCCCTGTATATTTTCTTGTGTCTATTCAACACTTACTGAATAGTAAACTAGTGGTGGCTAGTCGAATATGACTGTCTACTAAGGTGGTTATTCAATCCCTCTTTGTAGACATCTGTTCAGGCGTTCAAAACACAGAGAGCCCACCTATGGTTTACACTGCAAATATGCTGAACACATCTTAGTAACAGTTTCTGGAAAAGAACGCATTATCTGACGTAACCAACAATCTGAACAAGGCTCAAAACCTCTGTCATGATGACTTGTGACTTTGTGAAAGCAAATAGTTCCGGCTACCCAATTTGACTCGCAAGGTGATATCGTTTTCAGGTTTTCCAAATGTGATAATATCAAGAAGTCACCTTCCTGATTAATCGACCATGGTGTGATTCGAACCCGGTTCTTGTGGTTCAAAGCGAACATTCTAAACAGCCGGCCATGCATCAATTACCTAAAATAAATATAAAAGTAAATTTAGGTATAAATATTTATCCTTGTCTTCTTCCAATAAATAAAAATAATTATATTATAATTTCGAGTCCTGTAATCCATCAGGGTCGTAGGTGTACTGCGTGTACTGCAACCGTAGCAGCAGTGAGTGCATCTTGAGAAAGATAGTCTGACGGAGCCCGTCCCTCTTCAGAATGGTTTTGAATTCAGAATTATCCTCCTCCTAGATTGAGTACCATCCGCATTTTAAATAATAGTTTAGCAGACTATTATATTTAGGGGGAATTTTATCTAGGCTGCCACATCCGGAGGTTAACCTTCGAGGTCAGATGCAAGCCAAAATAGGGAACTTAGATTTGATTGACTGAGCCAGCGTGGGAATGATAGAGAAAAGATTTCAGGGAGTCGAGTCTTAACCGTCAAATAATGTAGACGTGTTTTCTTTCGTGTCCGAAACGGCTCCCCAATGAGGGGAATCAACCCCCAATGGTTAAATAAAACATGTCGACATGAACGTTAGTAAAATAGTTTGGTTAAAATTCCCTGGGTTGAAGTTCTTTTACCTCTGAACCCAAAACATCAAGCGATCATCGGGCGAGAGAGAAGATACAACATATGTGTAAATTGGCGCCGATGACCAAGACCTTCTAGCAGGAGGGGGCTATACAGTACATAGCTAGATAACCCAGTTTTTGGTCCTAGTTAACCCATAGCTGGGGAGAAGTGACAGACTATTGCCATTGAAATGGAAATTTGCGAGAAAGTGATCGCAACTGATTAGCCTGGAATTTGAACTCGAGTAGGCTGTGCGCTTTAATGTAAAGGATATCCAAGCGGAAAGAGGAAAAATATTTATATAGGCTGTTCCAATAACTTGAATCGATTTTAAATTTGAATTAAGTTTAAGCGTGTAATGATTTTGTTCTTTTTCTTTCGGATTTAACAACTTAAGTCTTTGGCAATTTCAACCATGGAAAGA